GGAGTGAAGCTGAGCCTGGGGAAAAGGAAGGGGGGATGGCACAAGGAGAGACAGTGTGGTTTTAATCTTGTCTTTTTCTCACCATCCACATCTGTTTTAATTGGCAATTAATTAATTTTCCTCAAGCCCAGTCTGTTTTGCCCGTGATGGTAATTAGTGAGTGATCTCCCTGTCTTCATCTTGACCCATGAGCTTTTTCGTCTGATTTTCTCCTCCTGTCCTGTTGATACAGGGGAGTGAGAGGGCAGCTAGGTGGACATCTGGATGCAGTCCATGGTCAGCCCACCACTGTTCATTTGGTAAATACTGTCTGACGCCTAATATTCTGTGCCTTATTCTGAATTATGAACACTTGAGATTTCTTGCTCTTGGTTTATTTTTAAATTAATCTTTCTCATCAATCAATATTCATCATAAAATAAAGTCGTATTCAAATTCTGTAACTGTCAACAGTAGTTACTCCCTGTGGTGGTTCTGTTCTGGGATTCAATTCCAGTGAATGCCCAGAGAGGAGAGGAAGGTCCTCTAGTATCCCTTTCTTCATGTCGGAATATCTGAAATGGATGCAAAATTTGCTAAAGATGATTTTTGTGTAACTTCCCAGGAGTGTTGTTAGACCAACCAGTATGAGATTCTGTGTGTGTTTTAAGACCAGTTACAAAGATCACATAGTCAGGAAAAGTTTAGATATTGGCCAGGTTGTGAGAGAATCTGGGATCTTCTATTTTTTTCCTTCGAAAGCAATTACTAAACACAGTAAGTCTGTAGAGTGAATTTAAACAATTATGCAAAGTGCTTTATTTTCAGTAAAACTCTGTTGTCTTTGATCTTATGCAGTCTGCGTCCCTGTCTGTATCATTTCTGAAAGTGTAATGCAGTTTTTAAAGATCCAATAGAAATGAAATGTAAAATAATAAGTGAGAACATGCAGTTAAGTGAAAAGTCTACAGCAGCAGTAGCTCAAGGAACAGGTGGGGAATATGGAACAGATTGTCTGCAAAAAAACTCCACATGCACGTGTATTGTTCAGAGATGTCAAAACCTGAAAAGCTTACTTAGCAATTAAAGATTAAAAGTTTGGGGAGACCTTTTAATCATTTAGCTGGTAGTTACATCACTAAGGTTTTTTCAAGTATTTTATATGAAGTGAATCTACTGGACTTGGAGAAGGAACTTGAGGCAAAGTCTAAGGTACAAAGGTTTGACAGACATTTTTCTATTTCTGCCAGCCTTCCTAAATATTTTAAATCTTTCGTATAAAGTGAAGCAGGGTTATTGGCAGCTACTATTTAATTAAAAGTTCTCATAATCCTTAGGTATACTGATAGTGCAACTCTTGCACTGTATCACAATGCTGCTAGCTAGTAAGAAATGTTATAGTTTGGTTTTTTTTTTTTGTGTAGGTAACACTTTTGCAGTAGACTATGAAGTTGAATGTTCTGTAAACAACCAATTCCAAGCATAAAGATTTACTCTGTGTCTGAAACCACTTTGCCAGTAGAAGAGCCTTGAGAGGCCTCGGGTTATGGTGGGGAGGATAACAAGGTCTCTGCTGCTGCTGCCCAATTTGTAGAACTAGATGTGCGTTTTGTGCATTTGATTTGACTCATCACAAAATGTTCATGTCCAGAGTGCTTTGTTCATTTCCTACCTCTGCAATTAGCATGGTCAAAATCTCTTCATCCTTCCGAAATTGCACATTTGTAAGATTTGTCTTGTGAATTACAGTCACAGAAATAAAAAGCTTCTTTGACTGGGAGATGTTTCTTCCTGAGGTCTGTAGGCAAGTGAATAAAATAAAGATGCTGGAAGTCTATGGTCTGTAGTGGATACTTATAATTGTGTTTTTTCTTTTTCCTTTTTTTCCTCCTCAGTGGAATTTGATGACTGCAAGGGGAATAACAAATTGAACTTTGAAGTTTCTAACCCAGACTTTAAAGTGGAACATGATGGGTCTTTGGTTGCACTAAAGAATATATCAGAAGCTGGCAGAGCCTTGTTCGTCCACGCAAGGTCTGAGCATGCTGAGGATATGGCAGAAATTTTGATTGTTGGAGCAAATGAAAAACGTCGTGCATTAAAGGTAAGATAAATACCAAGTGCTGGAAGAAAGTGCCAAGGAGATGCTGCTAGATGTTTACATGTTTCTGCTAGGACTGTAAATAGTTTTAATCTGTTAGGAGAGGGATCAAAATCAGTCTTCAATGCAGATATTGCTGTAATGTTTTAGCACTTGGTTTAACTTGAAATACAAATTTTCCAGGTTTTGAAAGATGTATTACATCTTTACGTGTAATAGTAAACATTCATAAAGAATTGATTGAAATGAAAAAGCTCAAGCATCAAAATGGGCTGGTACTTGTGGTGTACGTTATGCTGGATAATCACAGTGTGTCCATAACTGAAAATGAAAAAATCATAATCTAAATGTGCAATTTGGAATTTACAGAACCTTCACGTTTGCTTCAAGTCTAAGAATGTGGGAATGAATTCTGTGCTGTGGAATTTAAATTTTCATATAGATCTGTGTATCTGATATTGTTATGTGTTAAACTATACAAACATCTGCACAGAAACGACAACATGTATTTACGCTCTGTCTCTATGCACTGGTGATTTTTTATTCCACTCCATCCACTGAATGCCGTGTCCTTTCTACTTCTGAATTTCGGTGTGATGCTAATGCTCTTACTACGGGGAAAAAGTGCTTTACGAATTGATTGAATTGTTTACTTCACATCCATGAAAGTAACAAAAGGAAATGTGAGATAGTCCTTGCTTCTGTGTCATGGCATTTAGGAGAGAGGCAGGCAAGACAGCGGCTTACTGGGCAATTAAGCCTGGTACCTTTACAGACTTATAATTTCAAGGAAGTATAAAGAAACTATGATAAAAATGACTGATCTAGTGTCTTATTTTGATATTTAGACTGTGAGCATTCTCGTTGTATTTCCAACAATAGCTTAGTGTAACAGAAGTCTTCCATTAAAAAAAAAAGAAAATTAGATTTAGGGGAAAGGTTGAATAACGTTCTGAAAGTCTGTGGCTGAGGAAAGGTTTTGATCTGCACTTTACGCAGCACACAGTGTGAACATAGATGGCCAGTGGGAGAGGAGCTACCAGAATGTGTAACCGTAGAGAGCTGATCAGAACACTTAAATGGAAATTAATTTTATTTAAATATGCTATTTCTCCACAAAGTCAAATTTTAACAAGGCCATACTTTAAAGAATCTCCTACACAGTGGAGCTGTGGGTTTAGGAGCACTCACTGCCAAATTCAGAGTAGGAAAACCTACACTTGCAGGAGCTGGGCACTCGGTTGTCTCGTGTCTCGAAGTAGCAATGCGTGCTCCTTCTGGCACATTCACAGGAATGTCCAAAGGATTTTGTTTTCACTCTAGGTTTTGAAATCTTAGAAGCAGTTTCAAAATGGGGATTCTCATTCTGCAGTTAGAAGTTACTGAAACCATAGAGGAGTTTGAGACATCTCTGACAGGAAGTCTGGAGTTAAACTTCAGGGGATTGGTTTACGTGTGAAGGTCTGACTCTGAGAATCATATTCTGAAGTTTATTTCTGGTTTTCTTAGCAAAGCAGCCCTTCAATGACTTTGAGGGGAGATGTTCTATGGAAGTTTCAATCTAGGGGAAGTCTTGCCTCATGGGTAGGAATGAAAAGATGTATATTTGTACTGAGTATGACATAGCTTTGTCAGTGACCTTTTCCCTGTATGTCCTATTCAGTTCTGGGTAGTCTCCCCTCAAAATGTTCCAGCAATATTAATTAATGCCTAGTGCTGAAATCTATCGCCAGACTACATTTAGAAGCCAAGTCTAAGTTGGCCCCACTCCTGGATTCTGTTCCAAACACTTCGTGTTGCTTCAGAGAGAGAAAATCAGTCTAAATCTGGCATATTCTGCCACTTGCCATTCTTCCATCTTAGGTGACTCCTCATAGCAATATCACAGTGTCATCTCTACCTGCGTTCATCACTTCTTTATGGATTTTGATATTCAGCTCCTAACTAGAAGACTGCCCTTTTATTTTGGTAATCCTTGATGTCTGCAGTGCCATTGGGAGTTACATGATGCATTAATGTGTCCTTGGAAATTCATCTAGTGAGGATCATCTCCTTGAAAGGAATATGAAGATCTTTGGAGCTGGTTGTCCTACTCTGGCCTCAGCCAGCACTCTGTAGCTGTTAAAATCAGTGTTTTTTACCAACCATTTCAGCTGTTGTTTGCCTATTTTAAACAAAACGGACAGCCTTGTCTTTTTGTTTGTTATACTTGAGAAGGATGTAAAGATTACAGCGTCCTATCTAAAGTGATTTTATGAAGAATTTGAACTTAATCCTGCACTTTTGCATCCTGAATGCGTCAGCACGGAAGCAGCAGAACTGCCCCATCTGTTTATGCAAGGAGTCTTGGCTAGGAAATGCTCAGATGGAGCCTTAGTAATTCAGCATAATTCTGTAGGGTTAAGATGAGCACATGCTGGAGTACTGCTTAGCATTCAGTACTTGGAGAACAGTACCTTGTTTAATTAGGGGATAAGCAGTTCTTAAGTATTTCCCCACTGCTAGCAACTGCCATTTCTTTTCTGAAAGCATGTAACCTACATCTGTGAAATCCCATTGTTAATGTTTCTAATTGCAGATTCCCAATATGTTTGGAAGTGACTGACAACAATGATCTCTAATGTGCTGACTGGCAGTTTGAGCCTAGGAAGACATAGCATAATTCCTAAAACTTTGCGATTCCTACCAATCACACTTTTGTGCAAATATTGAAAATATTTAGAGGTGCAATCTGCAGTGTGCAGAAAAGCTTTTG